AACAGATAGCTCAACAGNTGATGTATCAATGAATATAACAAAGACTGAGATATGATATGTAGATGAATGCCTATGACTGAGTATGTAATTTCAATATAAACAGATAGCTCAACAGCAGAAATGACCCTAGTGGGTCACAACATGATAAGCATATTGCCTAGATACGGTTTCTAACATGGATCACAGCTCAATTACTCTAGCACATAGAGATTTCATGGATACAAATAAGATTAGGTAACTACACCGTACCACAAAAATAACCGTGTCACAATTCACACGGTGCACGATCACACACCCGTCACCTAGTATGTGCATCACCTCAACACCAAACACATATCATATATATTCGGGGTTCATACCCTCAGCACCAAGTTTAGAAGTATTACTTACGTCGAACAAGCCAAAACCAACACCAAGCAAGCTAAACGATGCTCCAAAAATGCCATCCCACTCGTACTGACCTCCGAACTGCTCGAAACTAGCCAAAAATAACTCAAATACATCAAATAAAGCCTAAGGAAACAATTCCAATTGATAAAGGTCGAATCTTTACTCAAAAGCCCAAAATAAACCAAAAGGTCCAACCAAGCCCGTGCCTCGGAACTTGATGAAACTTATAAAATTAGACAACACATTTAATTACGAGTCTAACCATACTAGTTTCACTCAAATCTGACTCCAAATCGATGTTCAAAACTCAAAAATTCACTTTATGAAATTTTAGACAAAAAACTCCAAATTTTACTTTTGAAATCATCAACCAATTGCCAAAAACAAAGATAGATTCATGAAATATAATCAAAATGTGTAGAGAATACTTACTCCAATCCATGTGATAAAAATCACTTCAACAATCGTCCAAATTCGAGCTCCCCAACTCAAAATATGACCGAATGAACAAATCTTTGATTTATATGCTTCCGCGCAGTTGTTCTGCTTCGTTTCTTATGCTAAACAATCTCAAAACTTACTTTTGATACCTCCAATGGATTATTTTTGAAATTTCAGTCAAGTTAAGCTTTTGAAGCACTCCATTTGGGCTTATAATGAAAGAGATATGTTGGTTTCAATATTTACAAATCGTGTAGATTTTTAAATACGAATTCAGTGATAAAATGATCATAAATTCCTCATACGATGTCAAAACTTGATGATTCCAGTTGCTATGGTTCCAAAATTACGATACAGATCTAATGCTTTAATAAAACAAATTAGAGCTCATTTTCTTAATGTGGTATCATTTATGCTTGAAGAAAACAACGACGAAACATAAATAAATAAGAACAACACAACCCAAACCTATCCGAAACTCACCCGAGCCCCTTGGGACCCCTTTCGAACATACCAAAAAGTCCCATAATATAACATGGACTTAATCGAGACCTCAAATCACACATAACAATATCAAAATGACTTAATTGAACTTTCAACTTCCAAAACTCGTACCGAAACATATCAAATCAACTCGGAATGAACCCAAATTTTGCACACAAGTCCCAAATAACATAATTAAGCTATTCCAATTTTTGGAACTATAATCCGAATCTGATATCCTCAAAGTCAACTTCCGGTCAAACTTATGAACTTTCTAACCCTTCTAATTTTCAGCTTTCGCCAATTAGTGTCGAATCTTTCTAGAAATATCCAATTGCAAATACGGGCATACGACCGAATTCAAAATCACCATCCGGACCTAACGGAACCATCAAAACTCCAATCCAAGGTCAAATACTATAAAGTCAAATTTGGTCAACTCTTCTAATTTAAAGCTTTAATCATGAAATTCATTCTTCCAAATCGATTCCGAATAACGTAAAAACCAAGAACGACAATTCAAACAAGTCATAATACATGATACAGAGCTACTCATGCCCTTATACTACCGAGCGAAGTGCAAATGCACATAAAAACCAGTCAGGTCGTTACAGAATCGATTGTCAAGATAAATCTATTTGCGTAGAGTCATTATCTCATATTCCATTGAGTTATTGGTAGCATAACAGTTTTAAATAAAATAATTATTAACATGTTTTATTTTATGTGACTCTTAACATATAATACATTATCTCTCTCGGTGTTTTACTATTTTTAAATGGTTATCACATTTTACTTTAATAGGGTTCTCAAATTAAACTCATTACCCCATTTGATGTTTTACTTTACTTAAAATTATTATCACGCTTTACTTTAACAAATTCTATAGTTAATTGTTAACTTATCTAATGTTTTACTTTGTTTAAAAAATATTATTATACTTTACCTTATTGATTTCCAAACTAAACTAATTTGATACTCTATTTTTGTATAAATTGTACTTTATTTCACTATATTTGATTCTAAAATAAACTCATTATCTCATTTGACTCCTTACTTTATTCAAGATTGTTATTATGTCTTATTGTATTTAAATAAATCCCTCGAATATTTTATTTGGCATTAAATACGAATACAGTGAACATAGTAGTACGTGAACTTTGTCGTGCGAAGGAGACTGATAATGTGGGCACGAGGTGTCATGCGTGAAAGATTCAGAATTGTAGCTTATGATATGTGATTACGAGGTGTGTGGTGCTTCGGGGTAACTCTTGTTGTATATCATGCACTGAGAACAGTTTGGTTACTTGAATTGTCATTTGCTCCCTTAATTGAGTTCATTCATATTTCATCTGTGTTCTGATTATGTTGTTGATTTATTACCCGTTTACTTCTTGTTGCCATTTGTGTTTCTATTATTCCATTATTGGTTGTATATCGAGAACCTTTCTATTGCTAGCATTACATTGATGTTCTTTCCATTGTTAGCTTCATGTTAATATCTTGCACATGTTTCTATGTCTAGTAGGTGTCTTGATTTGACCTCATCTCTACTCTACCAAGGTTAGGCTTGATACTTACTGGGGTACCGTTGTGGTGTACTCATACTGCGCTTCTGTACATTTTTGTGCAGGTCCTGGTACTTCGAATTGTGTTGGATTTAAGAGTTGTGCCTGTGCGGTTGGAGACTTCAAGGTATACCTGTCGTTTCGTTCGCAGGCCTCGGAATTACCTCCTGATTTTATCTTTGCTATTGTTTATCTTTGTTTCAAAGAAATATTATACTTAGAGATTTTAGTGTATCTCAGTAGAGTTTATGATCTGTACTACCGACTCTGTGGATTGTATACATTTGCTCAGTTTTAGTTACGTTATTTTATTTATCAGTTTAAGTTTTATATAGTTAACTTAGTTATCTCTGATAGATCTCTTAATGAGTTAGGCTTACTTAGTTGCCATCACGATTCTTAAGGTGGGATTTTGAGTCGCGACGGTAAAAGATTTGAGGTTATTATTTAGTTGGAAAAATGAGCATGCCTGAAAGTGTTTTTGAAGAAAAGAAAAACGAGGAAGCTTGAAGTTTTGCCTAAATAGAAACTATGTTTTTAGAAGAGTTTTAATTTATTTTAAAGTCCTAAATAATAAGGCATAGTTCAAATAAAAAAACTAATAAGTAAAATTTTACATTTTTAGTTTATTTGAAAATGGTAAACATTAGAAAAATAATTAAATGATTGATCCTAAATATTAGAAAAATAATTAAATGATTATTTTTAAATATATTAAAAAAATAATTAAAAGATTATTTTGTCGTGTATAACTCTATTCCTTTAGGATACGCACTTTGCGCGTGTCCCTATATCTATTAGTAAATGATTATTAAATATCACATTAATTTTGTAAAATAATATATTTGAGTTATAAAATAAAAATTAAATTAGAAGTATAAATTTCTAAAATAATGAATATTAATTGCATTTAGCTAGCTCTATAAATAAAAAGAGTAAGGATTTGTTATTCTTTGAAATGAATGCAAGAAAATAATAATTATTATTATTATTATTATTATTATTATTATTATTGTTGTTGTTGTATGATGTATTTAGAATATATTTTGGTCTATTATTTTATTCTTGTTATTGTAAGTTTGCATTGTAACCAATCTTACTCTTAATGCTATATTATAACTAATTTTCCTCTTTTACTAACTTTCTTCACCACTAATTTGCTTGATCATATGGAAACCAATTTATATGCCTAAGAGTTTTGTCAACTAAAAAATAATTTTACTTAAATGATGCATTTGAAAAATAATTAGACTATATTTTTTTAGCTCATAATTAATTCAAAGGCATAATTTCTTTTTTTATTATTATTATAGTGACTTATTAAATTTTTCTTGATTCAAATTCTATATAGCGCATCCCAAATCTTAAATATCGAACTGTAACATGAAAAAAGTTACAATTATGTCACGTTGCTAAAATAAAGAAATAATTCATATGAGGTAATTTAATTTTAAATTAGTTTTAAAGTATAAAAAAATCAATTAGCCCAAATGGTTTTCATGATGTTCCCCTATATTTCTTACCACCATGGAACGTGCATGTATTAAGAGTTTATTGCGAGTAATGATTTAATTAACAATATTTTAGTTGACGTTAATATCGTACATATTATAAACTTAATATGGATATGATTATAGTTATATAAATAATTCAAATAAGAAAATAATTTAAATAAGGTAAAATCTTAATTGATTTTGAACTCTTAAATATTAGTACTTCATACCCAATTCAAATGAGGAACTAATTCCTAAAGCTTAGAAAAATAATTTGAATTACTATTTTGTTCAATATGAAATTTATTTTTAAGAGGTAAAAAAAAACGAACGACATTTCGCTAATAGCCTTTGTGCTTTTAATATAGTGTTAATAGATATAGATTACTTGCTCTATCTAACACTTAGATATTATTATAAGTCTTTACTACTCAGAATTTTATCAAAACTCTCCACGTTTAGCTAATATCAATATTGATATTTGGCACATCTTTTTCTAATTATATTTTCACTCACCAATTAAATATTTATTTCATGAAAAATAACTTCTATCGTATCAAACACACTCACGTGCAGCAATACTTGAAACGATAAAATTAAGGTTAAAGTTGTACAATCTCTCCAATACTTAATTCCAAGGGTAATATAACAAGAAAGGTGTTGCTTTTTATGGTTTTTGGCCACATGAGCCTTTGATTAATACTTCCTATAAATATCATAGCAGGATGAGACAAGGACAAAGAGCAATACAATATCCTGTTCCGCAGCAATCCGTAAATCCACAACAATCCAATTCTCCAGATATTATAAACAAATGGACAAGGATAAAACCAAATACTCTTCCACAAAAGTCCATTCCCAACACCGATCGCTCTGCCCATTTCCAATACTCGTACGTATTCTACTTTCTACCTTATACTATCTTAGAGCTCGAGATTCTCATTCTTTTACTGGAGACCCCACCTAATCTTTTGGATATTTTTGGTGTCCAACTTCTTTATGGAGTCCATACAAAATGTAGTATGCAATTAATTGGACAACCTGAAAAAGACTCAATTAATTGACAAAAAAGGGAGATCCCGTGAGGTCATTTTCTGGGTAATCCATCTCCGATAAACTATCTGGAAGAAAGATTTTCAGTTACCTACTTACCCTTATATTTCAATAAATGCCAAAAGCAAATGGTTACATTGGATACCCATACTTAATTTGCTGAAAATTTATTAAGTATGTAAGACACTCTATTATCTTTCTCTACTTAGCCCAAAGCAGATGCTTAAAAAATTAATCTATAAAGCTCGTTTATTCCTTCCCTCGTATCTTCTCTATCTTCTTTATTAATTGCTCACCATTTTAAATCTTAGTCTTTCATTGGAAAAGAACATGCTACTTTCCTCAAAGTTTTTGCATGTCTTCTTCCGACGTCTTCAGAGAGCTAGAGAGATTTCGCTCTCCACTTTACCCTTTCACTTACAAAATAACTGATAGTATTAAGATTGTTTACATTATCAGTGTAGTTTGCCGAATATACATGTTTTTGTTCTATTTTCCGGGCTATCATATCATAGTTTCTATAAAGAGGTATTACTTTTATATGTCAACTATTTGATAGCGTAAAAAATATATATACTACCAGTGCATACTGAACTTAAGCTCTAAATAAAAGACTAGGTATCTTCTACCTTCGATCTCACAAACCCTACCAGAAACTTAGGTCTTAAACCTCTGGAGTACCTTGTTGAAGCCAATTGGAGAAGTATTGAAGAGTGTTCATATCAGCTCTGTAATGCTTCTGTGTAAACTCAAGGAGGGTTGCCCATGTGAAGTCAGGATATATTCTAGGATTGTTGGAGTCCACCAATTCAGCTGGTGGGCTCACCACCTTATCCTTCTTAGGGCACAGAAAAAAAGCAAGAGATTTCCTAGGACTTTTGTTGTTTACTACCGCTCTGTGCAAGCAACTTTTGTATCTTCCATTTGAAAGCGCCTGCAAAAGGAAAACAACCAATGTATTACCCATTAAATACAATAACAAAAGATATGATGTTGTACGCACATTCTATGGAAAGAAACGAGCCACCAACTATACCTATTTGTCACGTAAATATTGGTTGTCTCACTTTGTACTTCAAGAAGGCATCTACTTTTACTGTAGTACGTCAAATTTAGTATATATAATTTAACTTATATACACTTACAAGATAAATATTTTTATACCATCGGTTTAATTTAACAAGTGTTTTTTCTTAGATAGGTAGTTTTAATTACTATGGGCAATTACTTAGTTACAATTCCAACCTTTTCACTTTATGTGTCAAAGTTTGAATAGGCACGAAATTTAATTTTTTTTTTATTATTTAATTTATCGTTAAAATTATGCTTAGGCATTTATGTGGCTATTAAATCATCTTATCTAGGTAACATGAAAATTTTAAAGTTAAATTATTTCTAAATATAAAAGCGTGATATTCTTTTTGGGACAAACTAAAAAAATATGCCACATAAATTAGAACAAATGAAGTATATCTTTTAAATGATTCAATAGTGTAAAAAATTCTTTACACTATGCAAATAGAAATTTTGCACAACATGGCTTACCATAAAAGTGTCGCCTATGTTAACCACAAAAGAGCTAAAATTTGGAGTGATGAAGCGCCACTTGTTGTCCTCAAAGACTTGAAGCCCTCCAATACTATCTTGATGGAGGATGGTTAATGATGTTGGGTCACAATGAGGCCCAGTTCCTAAGGTAAGGTCTGGTTTCAGACATGTTGGATAATAATTGAGTCTCATAATAGATTCATTTTCTTCAAAGAACTGTTTGAAATGGTTCCTCTTCACGCCGAGGCTCACCCCCAAGAGTTCCATGATGCCAGAAGAAAGGGTGCTCATGGCAGTGCAGTAATCTTGATAAACATTCCTATATAAACATTGAAAATAAATCAAATAGATAAGTGAGGAAGATAAAAATCAAATATTACTATATTGTACGACCTGTTTAAGTTGCAGATAGCATACATTGTCATTGGCATTTTAGATTAGTTGATCACACATTTCAATACGTTATCAATTAGTTCAATATTCACGGCATGTTCCCATTATTTAAAAGAATTTCTATGTGTTTGACACAAGAAAATGTTAGCGGAGGTCCAAACGTGAGGGATATTGTTAAAAGTAGATAATAAAGTATACAGCAATGCGTGGTCTCCGACAGTTTAAATGTTTAAGCTTTTAGATGAAACTTAACTATACAACAAAATGATCGAATTCTCTTACCCAACATGGCAGAAATTGTCACCCATGGTCCTTAGAAAGTACTCCTCAACTATGCCTCCTTGGGCGGAATATGGGAAAGAGAGTGTTTCTTTCCAAGGTAGTTTGGATGAAAACCTTTCAGTAAAGCTATTAGCATAACCACAATGCTCTCCCTTCTTCCTCTGAGCCTTTTGCTTCTCAGAGAGTGGCAATTCAAAGAACATGTCCATGTAACGATGGGCGAGCGAGATGAGGTTAGTGTCAACTCCATGGTTCACCACGAGAAAGAAACCGTGGTTCCTACATGCTGAATCAACAAGTCTAGATGCTTTCTTGGCTGCAACAGGATCACCCGAGAGGAAGGATCCCAAATCGATATGTGGAATATGCAGTTCAGGAGCAGTACCAGCACGAGGTTTCTCGTGATCTGGCCATATGAATTGTGTAGGAATGTTGGATTCATGTTTCAGCATTGATGAGTCGAAAATCAGTGACATTTTCTCATCTTCAGTGAACCCTTCTTTGGATGTTTGTGTCGTGGGTGACTTGCTTCGTGTGACCATANTAAACATTGAAAATAAATCAAATAGATAAGTGGGGAAGATAAAAATCAAATATTACTATATTGTACGACCTGTTTAAGTTGCAGATAGCATACATTGTCAATGACATTTTAGATGAGTTGATCACACATTTCGATACCGTATCAATTAGTTCAATATTCATAGCATGTTCCCATTATTTAAAAGAATTTCTACGTGTTTGACACAAGAAAATGTTAGCGGAGGTCCAAACGTGAGGGAGATTGTTAAAAGTAGATAATAAAGTATACAGCAATGCGTGGTCTCCGACAGTTTAAGCGTTTAAGCTTTTAGATGAAACTTAACTATACAACAAAATGATCGAATTCTCTTACCCAACATGGCAGAAATTGTCACCCATGGTCCTTAGAAAGTACTCCTCAACTATGCCTCCTTGGGCGGAATATGGGAAAGAGAGTGTTTCTTTCCAAGGTAGTTTGGATGAAAACCTTTCAGTAAAGCTACTAGCATAACCACAATGCTCTCCCTTCTTCCTCTGAGCCTTTTGCTTCTCAGAGAGTGGCAATTCAAAGAACATGTCCATGTAACGATGGGCGAGCGAGATGAGGTTAGTGTCAACTCCATGGTTCACCACGAGAAAGAAACCGTGGTTCCTACATGCTGAATCAACAAGTCTAGATGCTTTCTTGGCTGCAACAGGATCACCCGAGAGGAAGGATCCCAAATCGATATGTGGAATATGCAGTTCAGGAGCAGTACCAGCACAAGGTTTCTCGTGATCTGGCCATATGAATTGTGTAGGAATGTTGGATTCATGTTTCAGCATTGATGAGTCGAAAATCAGTGACATTTTCTAATCTTCAGTGAACCCTTCTTTGGATGTTTGTGTCGTGGGTGACTTGCTTCTTGTGACCATACAACCAATGGCCATTGTATGAGTTTTTTTTTTCTTTTCTAATTTGTTTCTTGTTAACCTTTTAAAGTATGGTATCTAAGGCAACGAATAAAAGGTAGAGTAGTTAACTTTTGAAAAGGAGAAAAATAAAAAGGAAAAAGAACTTTGTGAGAGGAAGGGAAGTTGTAAGAGAGAGATGATAACGGAAAAAATGAAGGCCGTTCAAGTGGGGAAAAAATGTTAAACGAAAAATTGGAATCTTATAGGTCTCTCACGCGTTGTCTCTAACAACAAAAACAGGGCCAAAATGACCACTTTGCAAAGAAGGGCTTCTCAAACCTTAGATTTCGGTATAGATCCACAAGTTATTTGTCTTTTCCAATTTGAAACTAGAGCTCTTTCCCGATGGCCTTTGGCGTTTCTCTCACCGCCCTAAAGCCCCACGCTTGCAATTGTGCCTAGTAAGTTGTTTACCCACGGTACAGTTGAATTTATACGTGGTTTTTAGATAAATAAATTAATTTGATCATAAAATAATAAAATAATCGAAGAATTATGCAATACTTAGCCTTAGGATATAGACGAAACAGCAGAAACAACAGTTACTGGAACAGAGTTTCCGGGCACAACAACAATGAAATCAAAAAGTAAGAAGGTAAAATAGTATTAAACTTTGTATAGAATGTAGCGTAAGTTTGCCAGAAAATTCGTATCATTTACAATATTAACTAAGCTCACTATTTATAGCTATGTCTATAGAAGGAGGTCCTAGGATCGTGCCCTTCTTTAATGTCAATTATGAGGGACATTGATGAAGATATAACGGTGAACATAAATGCCAAATTCCCTATAGCGGGTAATTGCTCTTAATGCCATAGAATATTCTCTATTAAATACTACCGGGCGAAGATCATATATCATATCTTTATGAGCGTTATTATTTCCGGTGACAAACAAAACAGTTATCTTCGATCTTTGGTCATCCCCCCATCTTGGGTTCCATGTGTCTCTTTTTTTGACGGTCACGTGTCATAGCATATTTTATCCTATACAGATAGTCCCCCTGCTTTCCGGTGACATGACTGGGGGCCATTACCCTTAGGTTAGGATCTTTAGAAGGTGCAATCACTTAATATTAAAAGGCAAGGCTTGGTAGTTAGGATTCGTTGTAAGGGTCAAACAGTCAAATGAACCGTACCAATGTAGCCCACTCTAGCCGCGGCACAAGGTTTATGCGCCTCTGATTATGTACTCTACATACAAAATAACGAATGAAATCTTTGCTTTCGGTATACTTTATCACTATGCATTTCTATCCATCGATGCATCACAACAAATCCTAAATCCTAAAGCCCACGGGCTACTCCGACTCGGGGACGGTCGTCTGATAAAAAATTGGATGGCCCGAGCTATCGAATCCCCGAAGACCCAAGCTTATTAGGTAGGTCCCGAACATGAAAGGCTACGGCCAACCTAAAATGATTCGGAGACGTCCGAAGTCCGTATTCAGAAAGTAAGGCGCTTACTGATGATTAAAACCTATTAAAGGGTTACCCTCGGCAAAACACCATCGTATATGACTAAAACACTCAAGTGTCTTAAAGGCCTTCGATTTTTATAGAAATTTCGAAGCCATAAATAATCCGCAGTTACTATCGAAACTGTGCCTCATTCGGGCTTCTGGAGAACGTTTGCTCCAGATTACGTCTAATTCTATGCTAAGTCATTAAGGATGATCCACAAATAAAAAATTACAAATAGATTCTAAAGTAAAAGACACGGTGATGCCAAAGGAATGTTTTTATATATATTTCAAAAATTATTTACAAAGTCACGATAAAACGGCCTCAAAATAAACAAAAAGAAGCTGAGGCATCTCCGCCTAATCTTCACCATAGCTCGACTCTGCACCGGAACCCTCGGGACCTTCGGGCTTATAAAGTTCTTTTACCTCGGCCTCAAGTCTCTTGGCCTCTTCAATCTAGGGCGACAGATCAAATCCCCGGGTGTGAATCTCCTCGAGGGTCTCCCTCCGGGACAACCGTTTGACATATTCGGCCTTCTTTATTAAACGGGCCTCGACTATTTCCACATCAGTTTTATACTGGACCAGTATTTCTTCGACCTCAGAGAAATCAATCGAGGTTTCCTCCAATTCGGACTTCAGCACACTATATTCCCGGTCAAGGTCGTCTCGTTCATAGACGGCTGGATCTAATTGTGCCTGGAGTTCGTCACTTAGTCGAGACCACTTGCCGGCCTTGTCCTTTTGCCACTCGGAGCTGGTCCTTGACTGACACTAACTCCTCTTTTGTAGCCTCCTTTTCCGACACCAGCAAGTCCATCATTCTCCTCAGCGCCTCGACCATAGTTTTGACCTCGTTCATCTCGGCCTGGAGCTGGTTAATCAAATCTATCTTATCTTAGACTTGCAAGGTTGCGTAGTTAGTCACTACGCATAACCTCTCATTTTTAACATAAAAAATCCTTACCTTCTCGACCAGTTCAGCATGCTCCCATTTCACGGACAAGGCCTTCTACTGTGCTTTTTCCAGCTCGGCTCAGAGAATTGGGAGATCCTTGAGGGCCTCATCTTTTTGTTCACTGAAAACCCTATACATCTCCTTCTGCCAGACTTGCTCTTTCAGCTCGAACTCGATCTGGCTGACTTCCGTTCGAGACCCAAGGAAGCTTTCATGGTGGAGCATCGTATCCTGAAAAATAAAACAATAAGATTGTAAGAGCGTGCTGAAGCTAAGCAAGATTCACAAAGTACACGAGGAATAGGAAACTTACCCGGTTCAGTGCCTGTTGTGCCTCATTGAAGAGGCTTGATGTACCTACTTCGTTCATCTTCGCTTGGTCCTCTTTGGTCACAAGGCAGTGAAGATAGCTGGCCACACCCGTCGGGGCAGACAGTACCCGGGTGTTCGCAGGGATAGTAAGCACGACCGTTCTTTGACGATCTGGGTCTACACCCAGTGTAGGGAACTACCTCACCAGCTGCGGGCTCGAGCTCAGCTCGCCTGCTCCCGATGACAAATCCTTTTTGGGATCTCCAAGTGACCGAGCCTGGAATAATCCTCCAACGTGCCCTATATACGCCGTCAAAAAACATGTTGAGGGCCTCGTTTGTGCCTCGTGCCATCTCATTTGATTTCTCTTTGTCGGCATTAGCCTCATCGAACATAGATTTTGTGTGAGACTGCGACTCAGCGATATCAATGACACATGATATTTCCTTCAGGGCAGGGATAATTTATCGGGAGTCTATAACCTCTGATTTTCCTTCCGGCTCCCAGCTAAAGAAGGATCGGCCTCTCGACCACCTTCCTCGGTTGTCGCCTGTTCCTCCCCTGACCCGGACAATTACCCTCTTCTTCTTGACCTCGACGTCCGAGGATCTATAGGATTTCCTCTTTTTCTCCTCCCGTGTAGTAGCTCCGGGCTGTCCCGAAGCGAAGGGTTCAGCAAGTGAGGACGGAGCCTCGTCCTCATTCAAGGGCCGAAGTTCAGTGGTCTTGGGCAAACCAGTAAAAAAGAAAAGACTTAGTAGAAATAATAGTTGAGTATGGAAGTATACTTGTTCGGAAGGAGCACTCACCATGGGAATGGGCCTTCCACTTTCCCTTTGAAAGCTTGCGCGATTCGCGCTCAAATTATGATATTTGTTTGTATATCCCCTCGATCCTCTCCTTGAAGCGGGGGACTGCATTGGGAACTTGGATGACCACTGCACAATGATAGGAACATGCAATTAGAAAAAGAACAAAAGAAGTACCAAGTACTCAGGAAGGAAAGAAACTTACGGGCTGAGTTCCACTTTTCAGGGAACGGTGAAAATTCTAGGTCGAATGAGATCTTCGGTTTTCACCCGAACGAATCTCCCCTGCCAACCTCGATCCCGATCTTCATCGATGCTTGAGAACGGAGCTTTGCTTGCTTAACAGACATGCTTGATCAACCCCCTTGGGAAAACTCGAGGATTGTAGAGACGAAGCAGTTGGTCGAGGGTAAATCGAGGTGCTTCAGTGTTGTTGACAAAGTGGCAAAAGATGATTACGATCCTCCAAAAGGACGAGTGAATCTGCCCAAGGTAGACCTCGTACCTTCTGCAAAAGCTGAGGATCATAGGGTCCACCGGGGCAAGCGTGAAGGGTTAAGTGTAAACACTTAAATACCCCTCCATGTGAGTGGTAATGTCCTCATTGGGCTTGGGGACGACCACTTCCTTGCCCTCCCAATTGCAGTACTCCCAAACTGTAGGGAGTGTTTCCTCGGTTATGGAGCATATGTACCTCCATACCCCCTCGCCTCGGTCCTGTTGACTGGAGGCTTTCTCGACTTTGAAGTTATTCTCAATAGAGCAACCCATGGGGATGAAACTCTTTAAAGGAGGTTCCGGGGACACCTCTAGAACGTCCACCTTGGCATCTGTGGCTGGGTTGAAAGTTGAAGGAACGGTCTATTGAGGCACAGATTTGGATGTTTTCGCCATCAAATTCTGGAAAATATGAAGATTTGAAGGTGAGGATAAAGATTTGAAGATAAGGATGAAGATATGAAGGTCAAATTTGAAGGTTTGAAGATGGAGTATGAAGATTTGAAGATGAAAATATGAAGATCTGGAACAATGTATGAAGGTTTGAAGGGGTTAGGAATAGTTGAAGAATTCGAGGGTAAATCAAGAAGCTCTGGAATCGGAAAGTAAAAAGGTGGAAAAGGGATCGAAGATTTTTATAGAGAAAGGGTAATCAATGCATGACGTTTCGCATTCGGGGATGGTCAACAAGCGACTGACACGTGTCCGAAGTCAGAACGACGTGACTAATGGGATATTTTGTTGACTCGTCAACTCGGTTGTAGCGTACGAAAGAAGGAACCAGTGTTAATTTCTCTCTTCCTGTTGCTTCGATAAATCTACTCTCCCATAAATAAGAGGACTATCTGTGTATGGGTAAAATCGAGGGTAGAGTTTTTTTCGATTCCCCGATGAGTAAACAAAGGGGAAGCATGGCTCGACTTGATCATAATCGAGGCCCAGGAACCCCTCGTATCGAAACTCGGGAGGAATGAATGATGTATCTGTGATCGGGTACAGTGGAATAATGGACCCAGACAAAGTATAGCTTCTGGACCTCGGGAAACGTGGAGAACGGTTATGCATGACGAGTAGGGGCCGTAATGTTCGGCCTCAACTGAAGATTACGGCGCGA